ATGTTCAACACACACTCAAGCATAGGCTTCCTTAAGAGGCCAAAACATGCCCTTTTCAAGGACAACAAGGAGAGGGGATGGCCCTCTCCTTTTGGAGACTTCAAGGCACCATCTCCACCACTGAAATCCCTCAAGATTTCAGTGGTGAAGAGGCCCAAACACCAAAGTCCCGAAACTTGCTCAAAATGGCTCAAAATGGGGCCTTTCAAGGCCTAAGAGGGGTCAAACACCTCCAAACCAAAAAACACTCTTAATAAACAATAAAGAGGGCCTAAAAACAGAACTTTTTTGCATTATACACTAAGCTCAAAAACGAATCTAAGATAGGTAGAAATACAATGCAAAAAAGGGGTAAAAAGGGGTAAGATTCTTACCCTTGAAGACCTCTTCAACAATGGTGCTCCAATGGCCCTCCTTGGCTTGAATCCAACACCAAAACACCAAAATCAGTCCCTTAGAACCTCAGTAGCTAAAGGAAGGTGAAACACTATGTGTTTGTGTGCAATAGTAAGACACAAACACACTTTTACACACACAAGAGGGAAAAAGAGAGAGATAATGTGTATCAAACCCTAACCCTAGAACTCAAACCCTAACAATGGCTATCTAAGCTCTCTACAAATATCTCAAGTCTCCAACCTTAGTGTCTAGAGACAAGGCTCTCTCTTATAGAGGCTTATTGTCTTGTAAAGCTTACAAGACAAGCTTCCAAGAGAGAGATCCCTCCATACACGTGTATGGAGGGAAGCCAAAAGCAAGACAGCTGTCTTAAAATATCTGCAAAAGCAGATGCACAGTAGTCGGCCGGCCAAAAATGCCATTTTGGCAAAAAAGAGTGCCGACCGGCACTAAATAGTGCTGACCGGCAACAAATAGTGCCGCCCGGCAATGTACATTGCCGGTGGCAGCAAAAACCAGCCGGTGGCCTCTAGCCATTGCCGGTGGTGTGTGGGGATGCCTCACAAGGCATTCCCTGCCCTTCCAAGGCAAAACACAAGTGTTTGGTGTGAGACCAGACACTAAACGGTCAAGTTCGGAGATGCTGAGGCAAGGCGCGCGAGCCGAGGCCTCCGGGAACTCCAAACGAACACGAACATGGATAATCACCGAGTGTTCAAACGGTGACGTCCAAGTCTTGAGGACGGTCAAAAATGGGGTGTCTACACATATTAGCTTTATATATCAGTTATTTGTTTATTTGTTTTTTGGTTCACCTAATTGATTAACTTACATAGAATCCTAATGTAGAATGGGTAAGGACAGCAGTGACAGTGTGCTTTTGGGGCTGATTTTAATTGGTTTTTATGGCTGAAATTTGCAATAAGCACATAGGGGTTTAAAGGGTTTAGGATAATAAAGGGGTAAGAGTTTGATTATGAAAAGATAAGATTATGGCACTATTTTGGAGGGTTGTGAAAGTGTTTGGACTTTTGAAGTAACAAAGAAAGAAAGAAAAAAAGAAGATATTTTAAGAATCACTTCTAAAAACCTTAGGCATCACACCTACGGTAGGGTTGCATTATATAAGCCCAAAAGAGATTTCAAAACTCTGAAAATTTTAGAAAATATTAACTCTATTAAATTATAAGTATTACATGGCTTTATATAGAGTTAGGAGGAGACTTTCTAAATCAACTAGAATTAAAAAAAGGAAATTAGTAAATTATTTTGACTTTCAAAGTCAATTTACGACTAAATAAGAAATATAAATAAAAATCAATTATAACTTGACTCACAAGGTTAGGGATGTAAGAAAAACCGAAAAAAATCGATTGAACTGGACTAAATCGGTTATATTTGGTCTGTTTTTTTAATAAGAATTGGTCTGTGTGGTTTTTAAGGAGTACAAATATTTCTTAGTAAGTTTTGAACAAATATATAATTTCAAACTATGAGTGTTGCATTTAAAAAAAAGTACACTAAGAAGTTTTTTTAGTGTTTTTGTGTGTTACATTGGAGTATGTAACATTGGAGTGTTGCGTTTGAGAAAAGTACACCAATGAATTTTTTAGTGTGTTACATTGAAGTGTTACGTTGTTAGAGTGTTACATTAGAGTTTAGGTTTTTGTTCGTAATGTGTGATTTGTTCTAGAATGAAGAAAAATCCAAAACTTTTATAGTGCAAATTGCCTAAATGTGTAATTTTATATTTTGAGAAAATTACTTTCTAAAAAATTAAACCCGAACATGTAAGTGATTATTTTTTTATGTAATTTTCACTTTAAGAGGATCTTTGGGTTTATAAGAAAAATGGGATGACTAAATCGTTCATAATATCATATTTTGAGATTTATTGATATTTTACCCTTGCATCAATGAAGAGTATTTTTTTTAAAAATATTTTTTACTAAAAAAGCCAAATATATATATATATATATATATATATTTTTAAAATATAACTGTAGTTACATCAATGACTCTCTCTCTCTCTCTCTATATATATATATATATATTAATTATATGTATAGTTATATACACATTATTCAACAAAGCGACAACTTAAATGTGCCACAATGCCATCTTAATATTACTGTGGTAAGGAAGCCTTTGAAGATGTCAAAATAGTGCAATAACTCTTGCACAATGTTTCCTGAGAAATTTCTTGAGGAAAAAAGGAAGAGGGTTTAATTCTTAGAGAAGTGAATATTAATTCCCTCAACAGTGCCTCGATTTTTACTCCTTTTTTTCTTGAATGGACTACATACATGATACATTTATTGGTATTTGTTTATATTTGTTTATTTTCTTTTCTCCCTTTTGGGTGAGAAGGGTGAGCATAACTAAACTAAAATTTTTAGGGCAAGACTGGATTGTATATCACTTCCCTGGAGATAGGCCAACATAATCTCTTTTCATATAAGTCGATATAGTCGAAGTTGAGTGATTGACTTGCTGACACTATTGTGCAGATACTTCCGACTCAAGAACTGTCATCACTGAGATCATCAAGTCTAAAGTGAAGGTTAATGAAGGAGACTCCACCCAGAGTGGCATTAATCGCCCAGTCATAAAAACAAATAAAATCATTTGAGCACATCGCTAATGAAGTTCCCCCATATATACGCTCAGCAGAAAATGTTGGCCGGATACTTCTCTTTTCCTGGAAGACACCACCTTTATTAACCTCCATCCAATTACCCAAAGACAAATAAAATTAAGCTAACAGTGCAAAGGTCCCAGCATACATGGTATCTTTCCAAGAATAACAAAGTACTAGGAGGAAGACATATCTTCAAACGAAATATAAGTGACGTTGAAACAACAAACCCATTGACCAAAAGAACATGACAAGTGAGCATCAAGCTTTTTCATTATTCAATAAAATACCTTTTCCAACTTCCCTGCCACTAAACTGGGAGGATACCATGAGATTGGTTGTTTTTAGCATTTTTAAAGATGAAGCCATAAATTTGAAATTATGTGAACAAACCAATTGAGAATACGAACCTGAAAATTTTTGCTAAAGATTTTTATCTTTGATGTACTTTCTCTGACAGCATATTCACCATCCGACGACCAAACAAACTCCAATGCTGAGCCAAATGACCTATTTCTCCATGCCAAAGCTGTATATATGATGTATTCACCATCTCCACAAACAACAACAAACCTCCCATTGGGATTATGCTTTAGACTCTGGGGAAAAAAAAGAAAAAAATTTGCAGAACTAATAGTAAGTACACACACATAAGAACAGATCAGGATGCAACTAATGTGGATCACAATCAGCATTTTTATTATTAATAGTTTCAAAAAAAAAAATTGATACAAGTTAACAATGGGAGAAAGTGCGTTAGTTATCATATGACTTATTCATGTTGTTAGCTAATCTCGTCAAAATTACTTTGGTCACAACAACAATAATAGCACCATTATAAAGAAGTATACATGATTTAAGTCAAAGGCACCAAAATAAAAAGAATGCCAATTGATACAATAAGATCAAGTGCTGGTCCTGTCCATCCCCAATCCTAGGAGGGAGGTGAGGACTGGGTACAAACCTAACTTCCAACTTGTACTTGCACGGAGTAGCTGTCCTCAAATCTAAGTTTTCGAGCTTGACAATGACTACCAAAAGTTTTACTTTTCTCATTCATGGTTAAAGAGATTTCATATGGATCCATTTGGCATCTCTTTCAGAATTGTATTTTGTTCTCCCAAATTTTAAAATTTAAAAAAAAATTAATAATAAAAAAAGCACACAAGAAACTGTTTGGAAAAGAAGAAGAAAAACCAAAACTATTTTTGAGAAAATTTCCTAAAAATAGACCATTTTTAGGAAACATTTTAAACTTCTTTTGACTATCCAAAAGCAGTTTCATAGCAAAACCTTTCAAATTTGTTATGTAATTTCAAGCATACTTTTAAACAAGTGCAAGCACCCATGTCCAAGTGGCAAATTCTATAGAAACAACATTCTATACTAAGTTAATAATGATAAAAACTAGGTCACGATGATCTCATCTCTCTTAATGTATCCAAGATTTCAAGTGTCAGATAATTTAGACAACCAGACATAGTGGGCATCCATGTTTATTCAGCATATGAAGCAGCCAAACATTTAAAGCATGAGCAACAAACTCATACATCTTGAATCACTAATGAACTTTATTGAAGTTATTCTACCAGATATCTTTGCATGCTTTAGTATTTAAATCAGAAAATTACAAGAGAAGTGCTACTTCCAAAAGAAGGCCAGCTCACTAGTGTGAAAATTCAAATCATCACACAACATATCAAATAATATCTACTACATCCAAAGAAGGCCTACTCACTTGTGGGTAAAGATCACAGGTCCCCAACTCTTTCACTGCCAAAGGTAATCTTTCCCCATCAGTAACCTGAGAAGAAAAGAAGACAACGAATTTAAACATCACCTTAAGCAAAAAAGATTTGTCATCATAGTTTTATGAAATTCAGAATAGATGAGAACACAATTGAATCAAACCTCATAATCTGCTCCAACACTCTTAATGTTAACAGTCTGAATTTCATTATGCTTAGCCCATATGATTTTTCCGCTATTGTCCATACTAGCAACAGGTTCTTCGCGACCAATTTTTACCATAATAGTTCCTTCATCATAACCAATTACAAGCCTGTCCAAAGAGTGCAAAAGCCACAAAAGAATGAAGTTGCAACAAATTTAGCAAGAGTATGTTCAATTTTATTTCCTAATTCTTCCCCTGAAATTGTAGGGCTTGTTTGGTTTGTATCTCAAGATACTATTTTTGAGAAAAATTTTCAAAATTTTGTTTGGTTCAAATTTTTTGAAAAAAAAAATTCCAAAATTACTTTCTCTCTCCTACACATCAACCAATCACTTTTTCTCTCACACACATCTACTCAACTACAACAAAATATCAAGGGTGTGTTTGGTTTGTGTTTTGAGATAAATTTTCAAAAACAAATTTTGGGGAGAGTTTACAAATTTTTTTAGTTTGTTTGGTTGTATATTTTGAAAATAGTTTTTAAGTTTGGGAGTTTGAAATGATTTGATATTTTGTTATAAATGAGTAGATGTGTGTGAGAGAAAAAAATGATTGAGAAGGAGAGAGGAGAGAGGAGAGAGAAAAAGTGATTAGTTGATGTGTAATAGAGAGAGAAGTAATTTTGGAATTTTTTTAAGAAAATTTGTAACCAAACATGTTTTTGAAAATTTTCTTCCAAAAACATGTTTCAAAACACAAACCAAACACACCCCAAATCATCCCAAACTCCAAAACTATTTTCAAAATATATACCAAATAAACCAAAAAAATTTCTAAAGTCTCCCCAAAATTATTTTTGAAAATTTATCTCAAAACACACCCATAATATCCTATTCGAGAAAAGAAAAAACCCAATTCAGTCACACCTTCCAAAAAACATACTTTTTCATAAGTAAAAAAAATAAAACTCACCGGCGAGAACCTTTCATGTATCCAATGGCCCAAACTCTTTCAAGACCATAATTCAGTGTGTTCTCAAGGCTGCAAATCAATGAAAACAGTACGGAAAGTTTAAAAAGACCAGCACAACCAAAAACTCAAATTTATTATATTTTCAACAATGTAAACATAAAAACTAAAAAACTACTGTGTGAAATAAAATGAAGGGATTAAAAAATATAAAGAGAAGTGTAAACACACACAAACACATACAAAAGGCTCAACTGCTTGAGCATCCATATTGTCTTAATCGCTGGTGTATTTTTTATAATTTTACTTCCAAAAATTCAAACCAATTGAACACTATTCTATAAAAACTCCATCTTTACAAATAAGCTACAAAGGAATTTGCAACTTGCAAAGTGTCGCTACCAAGATAAAAAAAATTAACATTGCAATTGAAATTTATAAGATTGGTAATTATCCGGCTATATTTAGCAAGCAAAGTTGGTGGCAATGTGGCATAATTACAAGGTCCTTGAACTTGTGAACTCCATGAAACAATCCTTTGGTTTCCCATGACTTACACTTCTATACCATCTAAATTACAGCAAGCATCAACATAGTGCAAGAGTTCAGGGAAAGCAAGGGCAGAGGAGATCCTTAACACCAGATGCAAAAAGTCTCAATAAGGATATCTGAATAGAATGATACAGAGCCTTGGGAGAAGAGATAAGTACCACGTCCTCAAGAAAAACTTAACATTTATTTAACCTATTATACATATGTACATACAAACAATGATATAGAGACTTGGAAGACATCCAAAGAACTAATAAAATAGTGCATTGAAACAGAGATAAGAGAAGGACAGGGATAGGGCTAGAAAGAGATCCTGAAAATGCCTTTACAGCTTTGCCATTTCATTTGAAAACTATAGATACCATGAGATTAATATCATTTACACTTTAACTTCAAAAGTACACGAGCCAATTCAAAGTCAACCTAACAAGTAACTCAGTGACCAAAAGGTTTAATAAATTGAAATATGATGACCACAGTAACTGTCCATGAGAGTAAACAAAGCAAAGATGCCACTCTATAAAATAATCACCTAAAGTGCCATTAAATAAATTCCTGTCTCATATGACAACAATTATAAAAAGCAAGGGTTGGAGCAAGTTTATAACTTAAAATTTTGGTATTAACATAGTTTGACCACAAAACTTACCAATACATGGTAGCATGCCATATACGAACAGTACCATCCTCAAAACCAGTAATTACAATGGGAAGTTCAGGGTGAAAACAAACAGCTGAAACATTGTGGGTGTGCCCGTCTAGTGTCTGGACACAACTTTTGGTTTGATAGTCCCACACATGTTTTCATAGAATATAGCCAAAAATATTTTCACATTGTACAAGTACATGAACCCAACAAAGAAGAAGAAGAAAAAGGAAAAAAGGCAGCAAACCTTTGCAGTATGATCATCAGAACTGGTTATAAGATAAGGCTTATCACCACCTGTGAAGTAATCAACACAATTTACCCCTTTCAAATGGGCATCCAATGTAAAATTTGGGTCAGGAGAGCCAAGATTCCAAGTTTGAAAAAAGAAAAAAGGGAAAACAAAAACAAATTTATCAATGTGTGCATGTGCTTTATACCAAATTATATGAAATTGTAGTTAACAAGTTAGTAATAGACAATCCAATTCATACCTTTATAGTGCGATCAAGAGATGCACTTGCAAATGTGTTGGTGTCTTTCGGATTAAATGTCACTTGCATAACACAATGAGAATGACCCTAAAAAATTTGAGTACACACCCAGCCCTTCTCTCAATCCCAAAGCTTTATAAGCATGTCATCAGACGATGACAGCACATATGGAAGCGTAGGATGAACAGCCACACACCTAATATAATCCGTGTACGCCTCAAATACTTTGACCTTATCCATTGTATTGTAGTTGTAAACACGAATATACATGTCATCAGCACCAGCAACAACCCATTGTTTGCGCGCAATGAACTTTGCAGATCTAACTGCAAACCCATAGAGAAGATATCAGAGCACAGTAAAGCCCACATCAAAACAACAGAAAGCAAGAAAAAAGTACACG